TTGCAGAGCTCAAGAGTTACTTCCAGTAAGGATAGACATGACCTTAATGTGCCTCTTGTGCAGCCCACCCTGCTTTATCAGGGGCTGTTGATTCCATAGAATGCTGAACATTTATTGTCGTAGAGGTTATCTGAGCACTTGAAGGACTGGGAGCTGCTCTGAGGATCAGTTTCAGCCCCCACTTGCTGGGTGAAGTCCTTCGTGAGTCACAAGTGTGTGTTGATGAGTTCATCACTTCTTTCACCTTCCCATAATCGTTCCTCTTACGGGACCTCTTGTTCTCTGAACAAGAACTTTTGTTGCTTTGGCTGGGTGCTGTTTTAAGGGTTTGTTTTTTGTTTTTTTTTTTTTTTTTAAAGGTATGCTTGGGAAAGAGCTCTGCTTTATGTTCTTCCTTTTTGCTTTATGTATTCTTGTCTTATCCCAGATCTAAGCAGACTTCACAGCTCTTCCTTCCATCACTTTAAGTTCAGGATGGTAGTGCATGTCATCAGCATTCAGGGCCTTTGGAGTCAGGACTTGTTACAGATCTCTGGAGAATTCCTCCTGCCACAGAGTGTCTCTCTAGCATACATGCAGCTCTTCGAACTCACTGTGGATCTTTTGCAGAGCTGAGAATCTTTGTAAATTGACTTGGAAAAAAAGTCCAGAGGAAAAAATGTGTGTAAGTGCAGATCTTGAGATGGCAATTGACGTTTATGTGGCTTGGCTTTAGAAAAGAGGAGCAGCATATCTGTTCCTTCCACTTTCTTCTGTGGATTTGGGCATCTGTGATAGGACTCTGACTTTGGATGTGGGAAGGGTGGGTATCTGTGCTTGTGTGCTGCCATGCTCTGGGACTATATCCACAGCCACCTCCACCATTGGAGTGGCTGCTTGAAGCCCTCACAGCTGGACATCCCTAAAGAGCACTTACAGAGAAAAGAGGAGGGCATGGCTGACTGCAGAGCCACTTCCACAGAGAGCATATCAACGGTCCCTAATTAGGGAATTTTCTCCCTGAGGCATGTCACCTGCTCAGAGAAAACTCCCTAGGATGGCAATGCCTCATGCCCAGATAAATCAGGACAGGCTGGTGTCGTAAATAGCTGTCTCCTGGTGTCAGGGTGGATTGCCCAGCACATAATGTTATCAGCTGCTGAGAGCACACTGGTGCTGCTGGAATTTCATCTTAGCACTCTAGAGCACTGCAGCATTAGGAACCTCTCGTGGAGTCCATGAGATTGTTCCCTCCTGGTTGCAGTGGTTTTTCTCCCGAGTGTCAGTGCCTGTGGGACTGGTCAGGCTCTGAGTGAAGAGCACTTCTCAGGCAGTTGCTGTTCATGGTTTTGGCTCTTTGCTGATGTGTGCACATAACATCTGCTTTCCCAGCCAGGCTCATGTGGAGCTGCAGTGTTAGGATGTGCTTTATCCTTCTGGCTACTGAGTCACAACTTCCCTTCCTTTCTTCTCCGTGCTCAGTTGTGAATCCCATTTAGATCTGAACAGAAGCACTGAAGAGGAGATGTTCTGTTTCCCCTACGAGGGGAGGCTGCATTTCTATGAATATCGCTTGAGGTCACTTTTCTGCGATGCGAAAGCTTTCCAGACTGCCACCACCAACCCGATTTCTTGGATACTTGCCTTGAAGAGCATTCTTCTCACTGAGGGTTGTCCAAGTGCAGCACTCTGGGAGCTACTGCCTCAAGGCATGGGGGCAGTGAGGGCTGAACTGGCAGAAACCATGGTTAAGTGCACAATTCTGAGTTTTCCAGTTTCCTCATGTTTTGACAGAAACTTTATCTGCTGTGTTTGGTACCTCCCTGCAGCCTTTCTACAGATGGAGGCAGAAAAGGGGGAACTGGGGAAGATGCACCTGCAGTTTTTTATGCAGAAAAGCAGCTTAAAAAATTGTAAAGCCTTACTTAAGCATTAACTGTTAATTGTGGCTTTAATGCAGAGTAAAGGTGATATAATTATGATTATAAATGACCCGTGACCTGGTGTGTTACTCCCTATGAATTGATGATCAGCTTTGTAGTTCCAAAGGATGAGTTAAAATAGCTGAGACCAACAGGCTTGTGTGTGACCTTTGAAATCTGAATGTGCCTTGCTGGATTTCATGGCTGAGTTGCTGCCAACCTGCTGTAGTGAAGGAAAAAAACCTTGGAGCAGGGCTCTGGTTGGAGTGAGCTGTTCTCCTCCATGCAGGAGCAGCACTGGTATTGAACCCTATCCAGCTGCTCTGTCTGCAGGGTCCTGTGATTCCCCTCTACTTCTCTTCTGATTGTGGAGCCATTTGGTGGAAATGAAAGAGACAAACTGATCAAACACTCCCTGAAATGGCTTTAGGATTTCAGTTTGAATATTTTTTTTAATTAGCTGCATGTAAAGACTTAATTACTTCAAATAGCAGCCATGAAACCAGAAACCTCTTGGTCTGATCCTTTTTTTTTCCTGGTGTACAAGAAGCTTCAGTTAGCTGTAGGCTCATTCCAAATTGGACACCCCAAACCCCAGGTAAATGCTGGTGGGAACACCAAGTGATCAGCTTTGAAGTATTCCTGTTGGGAACATGTGGAGGAACTGCTGTGTGGGGTTGGGATTAGACTGACAAGGAGCAGAGTGGAGGTCAGTTGTATTTTAGGAGGAGCAAGGGTGCTTTAGTTGAACAATACAGAGAACACTGTAGCACATCCAAGAATAAGGATTCCTTTTTACCACTTGAAGCCTTTCTTTCCTTCTCCTGGTTGAAAGAACTTTCTGCTGTGAACTGGAGAAATTATTTGTTTTTCTCCCTCTAATTCATTTTCAAAGAGAAGATCAGCTGAAGTGTCCTTTATGGGCTTCCTTTCCCTCTTTTCCTGGACAGTGCTGCCAGCCTGGACTGACAGCTGATATCTTTGTGTGTCAGGAACCTCGTGTACCCCCAAAGTTTTGGAAGGTTTGGCAGTACAAAGGGGCCTATTAAACAAGGCTGTAGCATGGGATTTGGTCAGTGCACTAACTCCCCGTTTGTGGTAGACTGGAAGTCTCATTCCTGTGTTTCTGACAGTATTAAAAATTCCTCAACTCATTTATGCTTTTATTATCCTTAACTTTAAATTTGGGACAACCCTTGTAGGAGGCACATTGTGCTGACTCAGGCCCAGTTTTCTGGCAGGGTGGCCCTTGGTCATAGGTTCTGTGTGGCTCTGAGCCCATGGGCTGATGATCCCACTACTCCAGGGTCATCAGAGGGAGATTAGTCATTAGGGGTGGGCTGGAGAGTCTTGATGTTCCTCAAAGCCCCAGTTGTCCTGTGATCCTGTGGTGCCTTTCAAGGATGTATAATGAATGGGGTGTGGATTTTGAGCATCATGTGATGCTTCATCTTTTCCTCTTTTAGTCTGTAAAGAATGTAAAGAAGCTATTTCCCTCACAGTTCTTGGTTTGGTTTTCTTTTCTTTTTTTTTTTTTTTCCTCCTGGTTAGGAGCCTGTAACTCAATATCCTCTAAGGAACAGGCTTTCCTATTTTGCTACCAGCAGTTTAATTTGATTTACATGTGCTGGAATAGCCACTGCAGCTGAATGGGAATGGGAACAGGAATGGGAATGGCTCCGTGCTGGGAATGGGAACAGGAATGGGACCCAGCTGAGCTGGCTGGGTCTGCTGTGGTGGCATGCAGATGCTGGAAGAGAATAAAAATGGGTTTGGGCTCCTGGTATTCCTGAGCTGTGAGCAGGTCATGCACCTTTTGGGTGGTATCCTTTGACACTCAGAGCTGCTGTAGGAGACAGATACTGGGTTGTTGTGGGGAAAGGTTTCTAAGGATTTTCTTTGGTTTTCATTTATTCTGTTTTTCCTTCTGCTGGTAATCCTGTGGATAAGAGTGAGATAAGGCTTATGTTCCAACAGTATTTTGGTGTCTTTTGTGCTCACAAATTGGGGAAATACTTCCTACTTCCAGTAGGAGTTTTTCTGTGTTGGTATTTGAGAGGAGCCACTTGCAGCTACATCAAGGAGAGCAGGATGTGACCTGTGGCACCAGACACAGGGGAAGGTGCTGATTCTGTCTGAGGATCAGGGAGAGGAAGGTGCTGCTTCTGTAGGAGCAGAGGGAAAGCCCACCTGGGAGAGGCACTGGAGGAGCAGGTGAGCTTTTGGCAACAAGGTCAGTGAAGACATTAGAAGGTGAGGTAGGTGAGCCAAGTCCTGATCAGTAACCAGAGGCTCCCCTTTCAAATTTAGAGCTGAGGAGGGAGGAATCACCACTTCAAAACAGTCCTGGTTCTTACCCAGACCAAGCTGATGCTGCACCAAGATATGAATTTCCTTCTGGTTACCCTAAAGAAGGGGGAGGTATGGGTGGAGGCTGAGATGAAATAAAGAGGTTTTGCTGGATGTGGAAATTGTCATTTCCCTTGCCAGGGCTTCAAGACTGTTAAGGACCCAACTTGCAAGTGATGGGGTGAGGTAAACAATTGCCCAAAGTGCTGGGGGTGCTCCGTGATCCATTGCTGGGATGCAACCAGATGGCCAAGCCTTCCAGTGTTCCTGTCCTGCAACAGGAAGGGGCTGGGAGCAGGGAAATATGGGGAAAAACAATAGAAATCTGGGTTGAGAAGAAATTCCTATGTGTCATACAAGATTCACCTTTCTCCCAAAGGCAGAGTAAGTATCCAGGCTTCAGTTTCCCAGCAGCAGGAAAAGTCTAAGTGATGGGAAGCATGGATGACCCTGCATAGGAAGGGAGGTGGCCCAAGGAGTGCTTTGGGGCTTTGCCTGAGGGGCCTGGATTGTTTTTAGTTCTTGTCACTTAATACTCTGTTTTCTCCAAGTCTTTCATGAGGAAGTTGAATGGATTTAAGGGGATTTTACTGTGTTTGTTCTATTTGTGCTAATCTGTGGAATTCTAGGTGTTTCTTTCAGGGTCACTGGAGGTCTGTGCTGGTAACCATGGATCATTGAGAGCTGACATTCAATAAACTGTGCAGGTGATGCTGGGGAAACACTGACTGTGATGCTTTGTCATCCTAGGACTGTTGCAGCTGTCTGCCTTTTGGCACATGGAGATCTCAGCATCACATACAAGTTTTGGGAAAAGGGGCAGGAGCACTGCATTACTTCAAGAGACTGAAGTGAAGGTTCAGTGTTTATACACAACCTGATTTTCCTGAAGTTTGGTTTGTTTGCTATGTTTTGAGGCAGTTTCCAGAATAATTAAATCCGTGCTGTTGAAGAGAGGACTGGGTCTGTGTAAATTCCTTCTCTTCTCCCATGCACACTGTTTGAAGAAAACTCTTTCCTGATGTCCTCCCTCTTGCAGATAGATGCCAGGCTGCGTTCAGGAAATTTCAAGAGGGAGGAGGATGCCATGAAGTTTTCTATTTACACAGGTTGTTCTTAAAAAATATGTTTGATATTTTTGTTCTGAGGAAGTAAACCAACTTGAACATTAAAGCTGGCAGGACTTGTGGCAATGTATTGCACAAATAAAAGTGATTGCAAGAGTGATTAATGCCTGAAAGGAGCTGGAATTCGGAATGGGGTCTGTAGAGCTGGCTCCCTTCATGGGTGACTGGTTGCTGTGCTCTTTGTTCTGGCTGAACGTTCCGGTAAATGTTGATGCTAGATCTAAAATTGCTGAATAATACCAGCTTTGGAGCAAACTCCAGAACTCCGTGTGCTCACATGGGGCTGTGGCTGGGATTGAATAAATGCAGAGTCAGAGATGCTCTGAGAGCTGGAGTCCCTCTGCTCTGGAGCCAGGCTGGGAGACCTGGGAGTGTTCACCTGGAGAAGGCTCCAGGAAGACCTTAGAGCCCATTCCTCTGTGTAAAGGGGCTCCAAGAGAGCTGGACAAGGACTTTGGACAAGCGGCTGGAGTAACAAGACAAGGGGCAATGGCTTCCTGCTGACAGAGGGCAGGGTTAGATGGGATAGTGCAAAGAAATTCCTCCCTGTGAACATTGAGGCCCTGGCACAGGGTGCCCAGAGCAGCTGTGGCTGCCCCTGGATCCCTGGAAGTGTCCAAGGCTGGGTTGGCTGGGGCTAATAGCACCCTGCTCTAGTGAAAGGTGTCTCTGCCCATGGCAGGGGGTGAAACAAGATGAACTTTAAGGTCCCTCCCAACCCAAACTATTCCATGATTCTGACTTCCACAGCCATATCAGCCAGGGCTTCCCAGCCATCCATGTATCACAGATGGCCTCATCTGTCCATCTTCTTGGCCTTGCTCTTTTGCAGAAGGGTCTAAAACCATATCTCCAGTCAGCAGAGGTTGGGCTGGCACTAAGAGAAGAATTGCAGAAGCATGGAATATCCTAAACTGAAGGGACCCACTGGGATTATCCAGTTCAGCTCCTGCTGCAGGGCCAGTGTCTCCCTGAGCCCTTTCTTAGCCTGACACTAGATGGCAATGCCTCCTTCCCAGCGGTGTTTGGGACTCCTTTCTGAGGGCCTTTAAATCTGGATATCTGTCTTTCTCTGTGTAAATTTCATAGTAACTCTGAGTGGGAGTTGATGCCTCTTCCCTACAAGAAGCAGAGAACTTTGGGCTTCCTGGGATAAGATAGTTCTGAAGACATAAACACAGCAAGTTTCCTAGAATGGGACAGCTGTGCCTCCCAGGAGTTCCCTGAAAGGGCTGTGCTGGCACTTCCCTGCCAGCCCTTGGGTCAAAAGACTGTGGGCAGCTGGATCCCCGAGTGGAGACTTGGCACATGGCTGTCCACTAATGACCTTGGAAAGGCAAGATCTCCTGGACCCCAAACTGTGGGGACAGACCCCATTGAGAAAGATGTTTCATCTGCTAAATCTGAAGTGTAGGAGGGGTGTGACTGCTGTGGCACAGTGAGAAGCTTTCCAAGCCTCTGGAAGAGCCACTCCAGTCCTGCTGCTAGCAGCACACACGGTAGGAACAGCAGCCACCCTTCCCTGCCACCCAGGCCATGCTGGTTAATTGTACTTCACCCAGAGTCTGTTGACAGGCAGTTTGTTGCTGTTGGAGACTTCCCACGGTGAGGTAGATCTTGCTGAAGTGCATTTTTCTTTACCAAATAATGTCGAAAAACTACTTTATTTTTTTTTCCTTTTTTTCCCCTTTTTATTCCCCTCCTTTCTCCCTTCCTTTCTCCCTTCCTTCCTTCTTTTTCATTATTAAGGGAGGAAATACAATCTCTTAGCCCCTGGGCAAAATCAGGTGTGTTTGGATCCTGACTTGGCATTAAAGCCAAAATACTAGTCCTTGAGCAAAAGAGACAAAAATCTCGACAGAGAGCCACGCTTTTAGGGTGGTAGTCAAAAAACACTGAATCAGAGAAAAGTTTCCTACTGGAATTTTTAATTTTGGCCAAAATGTTTCCCTTTGCCCCCCTCCATGAAATAGTTTTTGACAAACATCTTCAATGTATTCCCTGGACAAGCTGTTCCAAACGTTGGTCCCAGCTCAGCAGTGGTCTTGTATTTCCAGTTTGGGTTTATCACATGTTAACCTGCAGCTCTGCAGCTGTGCTGGGTTTGCTCAATTCCAAGATTATCTGATCTCAGGTGAAGTTTTCCTGGCATGGCTGTTAATCCAAACCTGAAATGTCATGCACCCTCAACCCGCCAATCCAGCAGATCCTTGGGCTGCAAAGATAAAGCCTCTTCGAAGTGTGAATCACAACCCCTGTGTGTCACCTGAGCATCTCCCATCATGTTGTCCTCCCCTGCACACCACTGACCCCCAAGAGCACATAAGGGCAGTGAGATCCCGCTCCAAGCCTGTTTCCTCCACTGGCACCTGGTGCAGAAAGCCTGGAGACTGTGGATGGGTGTCCTTGTGGCCCCTCTGGTGTGGGCTGTGCTCTGCCAGGGCAAGGGTGAGATGAGACTGCTGGCAAGCAACCAAAACACATGAAATGGCTGTGCTAAACCTGTGCTGAGACATCCAGGACATGTGAAATAGGAGTGCTGGAAGGTGCTCCACGTTGTGGCACGTCCTGTTATGATGCAGGCTGGTCACAGGTTTCCTCCAAGGCACAAAGTGCTGCACTGGGAAATGCAGCATCCCCCCAAACTTTCCTGGTATGCGTGGGGATGCTGGTCCTATCAGCTCAGCCTGGGTGGGTGCTCAGTACCCTCCCCTGGGCCAGGAGCAATCCTGCTGATCTTGGGGGGGACTTGGGGGCTCAGGCTCCTGCCACCATCCCTGTGCTGCTGACAGGGCAGAGAGGAGGCTGCAGGCAGGGACCAAGGAGCCCTGTGGCACTGGATCCCCTGGATTGGTATAGGGGCAGAGGACTCCCTGGGATTCTGGAGCCCCTTGAGTCACTGGGCACCCTGTTCTGGGCTGGGGCAGGAACCAGGAACTCCCATGGCACTGGAGCCCCTGGGCTGGGACAAGGACCAAGGACCCCCATGGCACCGGAGTCCCTTGCCGCACTGGGCACCCGTTCCCCCAGGTAAGGACAAGGGACTCGGATCTTTTTGTTCCAACGGCTGGCCCTGGAAGTCATGGAAGCAGGAGCTCCTTGGTGCTGCCAGCCGCAGGCGAGCCCAGCCGGCCCCAGACCGCGCCAGCTCCACGCTCCGCTCCTGGCCCCTCGTTTGTGTTGGCACCAGCCGGAGAGCGAAGCCGCTTTAATTGGCAGTTGTGTTTGTGGCCAGGGTGTTATGAAAAGGTTTTCTGTCTCCCTCTGTAAGTTCCCCTGAATATGTTTTCACTCTTAATATAATATTCACTTCATTATTGGCTGAAAGAGGCTCTTTTCAGACAGGGCTTTTTTTTTCCTCTCCTTCCAAAAATACATCAAACTGCCCCTTCATGCAGTGCTACTCTGAGGGCTGGGATTGTCTACCGGGTGGGAAGTGAGAAACCCGACAGTAAATGGGATTTACACAGAAATTCCTTTCTTCCCCAGTGTGCTGGCACTGCTGGCTGGGTAATGGAAGAAGCGGCTGTTGCTTACAGGGTGATTTGGGGTACCTCACCTCCCCAGCAATGTGGTCACCAAGGGGATCCCCCCAAGCAGAGCAGGGGCTCCCAGTGCCCTCAGCTGGTGTTTCCAGGTGCAAACCCCTCTAGCAGAGTTGGGACCCAGCCCCAGGGATTCCCATGTGTGCTGAAAGCGTTTCCAGCATCTGTCAGGTTTTGGCAGCTTGCTCTCTCTTGAGTGGGTTTGAGGGCATTGGGTGCCACTGGACCCCCATATTGCCATCTTGTGTTGCTGCTCTTCATGACTTTGCAGCTTCCATAAGGCTTTTTCCTCCAGCTTTGAGAAAATCTCTTTGAAAATTCTGTGAGCTGCAGATGCAGTGAGGGTGGCATCACATGCAGAGCATCCAGCCTGGCTCAGCCTTGGGGATCCAGGGGAAACATCTCTGCTTTCCTCTTGTCTGAGTTCCTTGAAGGGCACTCACAGCCCAGCCAAGCTCTGGGTTCAGTTGTTTGCCATATTTGGGTGGTTTTGCAGGGCCATGCAGCCCCCAGTGTCCTCACTCAATGTCCTCAGCCCAGCTGGGAATATCTCATGCTGGGGCTGCTGTGGGGTTGTGCTCTCAGCCCTGGCCCCAGCTACTTTTGGGATACCCTAAGACAGCCAATCCAGTGGGGGGAGGTGGGGGGGACACTGGGCCAGGTCTTGCTCTATTGCTGTGGAGCACTGGGGTCCCTGGGGACCTCCACACCTCTGCTCCATCCCTTGAAGAGCTGTTATGAAAGCCCAGGGGAGCCCAAAGCATGTTTTCCCTTTCCCTGGAAGCAGTATAGACACAAATCTCCCCTCTTGGGGCAGATGCCAACAGCAGGAGCCTTCCCCAGCTCCACTGCTCCCATTCCCAGCCATCTTGGGAAAATCATTAGGGCTGGTACCATGTGCTGATAAGTATCCAAGTTCTGTCCTTAACTGGGAACAGTTAGCATTTGTTTCAGAATACCTCTGTTTCAGGATACAGCTGTGGCTCCAGAGCTGACAGAAGCATTCCCATCCAAGTAGGGCCCAAGGGATCTCCCTAGGGATGATGCAGCTCCCAGGTAAGGATGCTCCTGGGAGGGGTCCAGCTTATGCATCCTCAACCCCTCCCCTTGTCCTGACATTGGCAGAAAAGTGGGAGCTCCCTGATGATCCTGCACTTCTTTTTCCA